GAGGTTGGGAACGGTTGGGTGGGTGATGCGTAGAGGTTACACGGGCGATGAAGGCGATCAGATGGAGGTCCGAAGACTTGGCGATCCAAACAGAGCCGGTCTACCGTCGTGAAACACGGTCAAACACCGAAGAACGCCCATGCGCAAGGCGCGCAAGGCCATGCGCAAGCACAAATGAAAAGACACGCCTCAAACAGGAGAACGTGTTTTGGTTGAGTTCACCGGAGGGTCCGGAGTTCTTGCCTCGGTGTCCCTTTGGCCGCCCGAGGAGTTGAGTTCGTTTTCGACGCGTCTCCCAGGCCCAAACACACGTGAACCAGTTGCAGGACCTGATTGACTCCAAGTTGGAAAAGTGCCTGGACCGCTACCCCGGGGTAGACGGCTACCCCGTGGGAAAGGTGGACCGTTTGCGCGGTGCTATTACATCCACGTACCAGGTGGTGAAGGGACATCTCGAGCAGCACTGAATTGGTTTTGGTCCGGGGCTTGGAATTCAGACACCCCTTCCAGCACCTCCAGGTCACCAATTGAAACCTGCCTAACAACCCTCCAAAGGGTACCTGTTGGAAGGTGCTGGTTTAGGATCCTTTAGGGGGTTCTGGTATAGATCAGAGTTTGCCTTTGCTAAGAGGTGTTTGGCTCCGGATCCCGAAAGGCTCCTGGACTGTGTAGCCGCCCTGCTCCAATGAGATCCGTACATGCAATTTCAGAACAGTGGACAGGCCCATGGAGGCATGCTGATCAGGTATGATCAGTATTGTTGAATACGTCTTCATTGTTTGGTGGGATGTTGATCATTGTTGACGTAAGATAGTGCGCGATAAAGCCTGCAGATTACTCAACTTACTGTGGCAAAGGAAAGTCTTGGCCAGCAACAAATTTGTGGTTGTTTGGGTATCTCGAACAAGTAGATTCACACCGCTACTACATCAGGTTTGAAGATTGAAGAGTTGGGTTTGTAGGTTATTTGGATATTTTCTAAAACATCTCCGCATAGTTTATGTATGATGGAGCCTACTTCCACATCTCAATGTGCAAAGCACTGAGGTGTGATACGAGGAAACAGTGTGAGGGTGATTGTCAAGATTTTTCAGTGATGCCCTCGGGCTGTTTTCGGACAACAAACAGAAGTATGCAGGTTGGATTCCTACAAAGTACTGGGGAAATTCATGGAATTGGACTAGTTCACAGGCTCTCACCCGCGGAAGGCTCGGTTCTTCTTCGAGCCAAAGGGTGTTGGGTCGGGGATTGGTGTGGCAAAGCCCGTCGTCATGGCACAGCCATGGATTCGAGTGAAGGGTTCTACCGTGGTACGGTTTTGCATGGTTTTGCTCATTCATAGAGGTTTGGAAGCCTGTCATACCCGAGTTGGAACACCCACCGGAGCGAAGGACATACCACGACCCCACCGGTGGAAGACGCCGACGCACCGAGGCGCCGACGTGGAGTCTATGGGCCACCTGCGGGGAAGAAGATGGCCGGAGCCCCGTGGGCGCACGGGTTCAGTGTGGTCCAGGCAGTGGCCATAGAGACTATGGATCCACATACCGAACCTGAGGTACGGTGATTGGAGACTATAAATGTAGGCGTGGAGGGCTCAAATACCTTCTGACAAGGTATGTGGATCCATAGGGATTGTTTTTTTGGCTGTTCCCGGCAGCCCGGTTCATGGGTTCTTTTGCCTTGCTCGTCCTCGGTTGTTTCTCGCGCACGCGTCTCATGCAACGGCTACCCTCAGCTATGCGTATGGTAGACATGACCATTAGATCCCCAACCAATGGGTTTTGGTCCCTTTTCCTTCTTCCAAGCGTGTCTTTGGGCGGTCTCCTATTTTAATACACACCCATGTGCACTGTGCATCAGGGGCGACGGACCGCGCCTGGTTTGGCTCAGTGTGGATGGTTTGAGATGATACTGGCTGGGTGCATCAACCTGGCTGGGTGCGTTAGGGGATGTTCGGGGTGGTCTTAATTTTCTTGTGTCGATGGATCCTGGTGGCTGAAGCTGTGTTTCCACCAGAGCGCAGCTCAGGCTGTGGATTTGCAGCTTCCAAATGCAACCAGGTTTGCCGAACCAGCTACACCAGGTTTGCAGAACGCAGACGATTTATATATATACATGACAATGTTGATTCGGGGGGTGGAAACACGGATGGGATAGAGTGAGCGATGTCAGGATTTCTGCATGAAGTCTTTCCTGACATATGTTTTTGTTTTCGTATTGACTGTTGATGAATAAAACACGGCTTATGCATGCAAGACAACATGTATATTTAGAACCTGACCTCCATTTTGCAGGGTCAACTATAAAACATATTGCCTTTTCCTATCAAAAAGGAGTCCTTCCTGGATTCCGGGCATATATACTACCTATACCTGGATGGTCGGTAACCTGGAAGGGGGTGTTATTAGTCCACTGTCAGAGAACGCGTATATTCCGCTGTTTCTTGCGCCTGTTTTGAGGTGCTGTTCATCGACGTTGAGGGCTCAGCTTACGAACACTGAGCGGTAAAGAAAGCGTCCATCCCTTGAAATAAGGGTTTGTATAGTACCGGCGGGAGGCTGGAAGATTCAGCATTATATTGTTCATTTTCCAAGAAATGCCAAGCCACATAGTCCAATAATTGTCAAGCCCATGTTTTATGTTTCAGCTCTTGAGGAACCATTTGGGTGGTCCATGATGCCATCTCCCGCATATGTCAGGATATATTCTACACCATCAGTAGCAAAGCTGCGGCCACTGGTTTCAATCTTGAGGTTTCAGGATCCGTCGATTCGTGATGGTTTTTCCTTTCACAGCAGAGGTCATGTTTGGGTTCTAGGTATATACATGCACACCCAGCTCATACTGGACATATTTGCTGATCCTGTTTGGTTCAAGAAGACCTGGGAAGCAAGGCCAAGCCATTGCACACAAAAGGCAAGAGACCCAAGACCTCCTCCTAGCCATGCCGATGAGCTATTCGAACTTCGATGTGGAGACGCCCAAAGCAGTGGCGAAAAGGAAGAAGGAGGTGAATGCATTCCTGGAGCGCCACGCCTTTCCGGGGGTGAATAGCTTGCGTGATACCAGTGATGTCTTTCAGCATGTTCGTGTGAAGCAGCTATATCCTTTGGATGTTGCCGAAGAACTAGGTGATGAGAGGATGATGAGTTTGTTGAAGATGTCAGGCCAGCCGCGCCAACAACCAACTTGAAAGCACATAAGTTGTGCACATTATACACTCGAACTGAAGAGTCGTCTCTACGGGTGTTCAGCTGTCCTTTGTTTGTCCTTTGTTGGTCAGAATGTTAACTATATGCATGTCTATCGTGAATATCCGCGAACATCACCTATGTTCAAGAGATTGCGCGATTCGCATGTGTCAATCTCCTGCAGAAAGACAGGGAAAAGATCACAACCAACCTGCTTGTTTTTTCCTTGTTGTTCTGGATTGGTGGCCAAAATGTGGCTTCCCGAAGCAAGCATGGAAATCTAGGGCCCTGTTGTAACAAAATTAATTGAAATGAGGGTTGTTCCGGTGGTGGGTGTCAAAAGCAAGTGCTGGGGAACGCAGTCTGTGTAAATAAACAATTGTCAATGAATTCCTCTCTTGCAGGGCACCCAAAGTTCCATTTGCAGGTGCCACGGAGCGTTCCCAGACCTCTAGAAGCGCTGGAAGTGCTTTAGGTGGCTTGAGGAGCTTTCTCTCCCTGCGCAGCACGGCCTCCACAACATCTACTGCGGCCAGTGGTTCTGAAGCACCAGTGCCGCAACGGAGCTGTTTGGCCAAGAAGAAGGTGGATGAGATTGATATGGCAACGGATGAGGAGAGTGTGGAGTCTGTGTGGGTTTGACCAGGCTCTTTTTAGGACAACTAGCACAACTGAAGGAGCACATTCTCATGGGGGGGATGTGTCCTGAAGCCTTTAAGCAGATGAGTCGGGCAGAATGTGTTTCAACTGCGTTGAGAATCTTGAGACACGAGAGAGCAGCACGAACTCCAAGTCTTTTTTTCGCATGCAAAAAAGATGGTGCACCGACTTAATGCAGACGTGGTTTGAAGGTTGAAGACGAAATGTAAATTCTCATGAGGAGATTTGTTTTCTGAACTGCTCTCTTGAGATCTCTACCGTAGCTCGTGTCATGAAGCAGGCCTCGACTGCCGAGGCAGCTCTCACGAGCAAACCAAATTTTGACAAGTATTTTAAGTCATGTGCAGCATGTGTCCAACAACATGCCACTTTGTGTCCCAACGAGACACGTCACCCTGGACACTTTGCATCCCAATGCGGCACTTCACCCTGGCCGTGCTTCAGCCTTTTCACTGCACTCGAGGAAAGAACTGCTGAACTATGCTGCTCAAAAGAAAGTCAAGGCATTTCAAGGCCAAGTCTTGCAGCGTCTCCCGTGAGTCAATGAAACCACAATGATGCAACATAATATTTCCGAACTGAATATGGACTGAGACATGCACTGTGCATGGGTGTTGCGTAGAAAAGCGAAACCACATGGTGGTGAAGTCCAGAACCTGAGGAAACGGCGGGCCGCACTCACGGCCGTTGAGGCTAATAGTAACGAGGCGAGCAGGAACGGAACCAGTTTGTTTGACCTCCGAAACCTCAACAGCCTGGGCAACCTCTACAAGTGGAGTCGTAGCTCATTACACTCCGACGAACACATCACATGGAAGTGGAAAATGGCCTGTTGGATGACTATTAATTATCCTTTACAAGCAGATGGTTTTCCACTTCCATGTTAGTGAGTCAGAGGGTACAACATTCAGAACTGAGAGTGCAGGTACATATCGATTGCCAGTGGATGCTTCCCTCTCTGATGCATAGCGGTATAGCTTCGTTGGACCGAGTAGCATCAGAGAGCTCTGTCCCCACGCCGCTTTTTGTTGAAACATTTCCGCTTGTCATAGCGGTATACACGCACCACATTTCATGCTGCCTAACTTACTGACTTGGTATCTTTCGTCAGCTGGTGCCACCATGTGCCACCCTGTCCTGTGTCAATGACCATAGTTAGCAAGCAGGACCGGTTCCTGTTCGGTCCAGTGTTCCCCGCATTTGGACGTCACCATGAATGCATGCCAACTAAGTTAAGTTCGTACTGCAGATTTCGTGGGGCCCGAGCGGATGTGTATTGCACCCCACCAGCAAGAGACCTCGTCCTTGTCATGCCGATGAGCTATTCGGACTTCGATGATGAGTCACCCAATGTAGTGGCGCAAAGGAAGGAGGAGGTGAATGCATTCCTGGAGCGCCACGCCTTTCTGGGGGTGAATAGCTTGCGCGATACCAGTGATGTCTTTCAGCATGTCCGTGTGAAGCAGTTATATCCTTTGGATGTTGCCAAAGAACTAGGTGATGAGAGGATGATGAACATGTTGAAGATGTCAGGCCAGCCGCGCCAAAAAACAACTTGCAACACAGATGTGCATAAGTGGCGTACTTTACATAGCTTTGCTACACATACTCCCCCAAGAGACATGCATGGACTGAACGAAAACAATTTTGAAGAGTTTACCCTACAGGCGTGGTATTCAATTTTAACGTGGGCCTGCTCCTGTCAAGCCTTTATTACTATTTTTAGTAGTTATTTTATGTCTATGTAGTATAATATTAATAACTATATATACTGTTTGTTTATTTATATGTATATATATATAGTTGGTCAGGCCCCCCAGTGACCCTTTGAAGACGACAACATAGATACCTTCCAGATTTGCACATGAGACAGTGTAGACATTGAATTTGTAGTTCCTCCCCAAGAAGACTCAAGGTCAGCAGACGCAAGGCAGCAAACAGAGATTGCAGAAATGCAAGCCTGTGTGTTAGGTTGCATGTGCCATTGAAGGAATGCCTGGTTTGTAACTTGAAATGATCACAGCATGAAAGGGCAGATGAGGTCCTGCTCCCAAGTAACATCACAAAAAAAGGAAGGTCAGGAAGGCTCACATCGCCGACTGGTCCGTGGCATTTCAATGGCTTTGTTTGAGGACCAGCCTTCAGGCCATTCACGTGTGCACTCGGACAAGACACCGAGCTGGTGCCTCACCGAGCTGGTGTCTCAAGGACTCTACGAAGGTCAGGTGGAGGTGACAAGCTAACACAGTTGTGAAGAGACCACGAACAAATCTGTGGACCACCACATATGCAGAGAAGAGTCGAGTCTTGCAGATAAAGCTGTGTGAACCCAATCTGTTGGCATTGCACAGCTTAAGAAAACAAACACAAATCTTTCAAACGAAGCATGGTCAAATTGGAAAAAATAGCACAACACACTTCGACGCAGGTCGTAGGGGTGACCATTTATTTATACAAGTTACTGTGTATAGATATGTAGATACTACATATATATTATAGATATATGTCCATTTATTCATATGTATTTCTCTATTTATATTTATGTTTATATATATATGATTATTAGCGTAGCGTGTGTGCGTTGTCGGATGAAATGCGGTCTACGATTCGGCTCCAAGAGATGAACCCACGCAGGACGACACACCCATATGTTAGACCCAGGTTGGTTGCCAAGTTTGGCTTCCCGAACAAAGCATCAAGTGGGACACATTAACAAGATGAGTTTTTTTTATTTTAATCTGTTTTAGGACTGGCAGCTGGGGATATGAACCAGGGTGGGAGGCATTTTTGAGTGCGAAGAGTCTAAGAAACACAGGTCAGGTGATATGTGTTTCTCGCAGGGCTCACACGAACTTCTGTTTGCAGGTGCCACGAAGCGTTCCCAGACCCCTAGACGCACTGGAAGTGCTTTGGGCGGTTTGATGAGTTTCCTCTCCCCACGCAGCACGACCTCCACAAGATCAACATCTACTATGGCCAGTGTTTCCGAAGCACCAGTGCCACAACGGAGCTGTTTGGCCAAGAAGAAGATGGATGAATTTGATATGGCAACAGATGAGCAGAGTGTGGAGTCTGTGTGGGTTTGACCAGGCTCTTTTTAGCACTGTCGAAGGAGCACATTCTGATGGGGATGTGTCCTCAATTGTATTCAATTGCTTTTTGGAGCAGATGAGCAGAACATGCTTTCACTGCTTGCCAGAATCTTGAGACATCCTGAGAGCAGGAAAATAGGAGGAAAACTCTCCCAAACTGCACATCAGGAGATCTCGGTTCAGTGCACCATCTCGTGTAGTTGTGTCATGTGCAGCAAGTCTCCCCGAGAGCGAACTTTCACGAGCAATCCAAAACTTCTTCAGCGTCTTGTGCAGAGTGTGCCCAGCAACATGCCACTTTGTGTCCGAGACACTTCATCCTGGCTGTGCTTTTAGCCCTTCCACTGCACTTGAGGAAAGAACCGTCGAGGTCGTGCAATTTGTACACATAGATGTTTGAACCAGTTTGATGTTTGGTAGAGTTGGTATTTGCATCAGGTTGCGTTTCAGCGGAGTGATGTGCTTATATGCACATGTTTCATGACAATATAATATACTTAATATACTTGTGATTGTGGTCATTGATTTGATGCAGAGACATGCTCCAAGATTATTGACTCTTGACTATTGACTTAATGCTGAAAATTATTGAACATATTCTGTGGTGTGCATACATGCGTGGTACCTAACCCCGCGGTAGTTGCGCAAAATACTTCCATTTTTCACTCCCCCCAAAAAGCATATAAGAACCTATACCAGGAATACCAGGTGAGCACGTTGTTAGTGACCATAGTTAACAGTTAGCAAGTAGGACCGGTTCCTGTTCGGTCCAGTGTTCCCCGCATTTGGACGTCACCTTGAATGCATGCCGACTAAGTTAAGTTCGTACTGCAGATCTCCTGGGGCCCGAGCGGATGTGTATTGCACCCCACCAGCAAGAGACCTCGTCCTCGTCATGCCGATGAGCTATTCGAACTTCGATGTGGAGACGCCCAAAGCAGTGGCGCAAAGGAAGGAGGAGGTGAATGCATTCCTGGAGCGCCACGCCTTTCCAGGGGTGAATAGCTTGCGTGATACCAGTGATGTCTTTCAGCATGTTCGTGTGAAGCAGCTATATCCTTTGGATGTTGCCGAAGAACTAGGTGATGAGAGGATGATGAGCTTGTTGAAAATGTCAGGCCAGCCGCGCCAACAACCAACTTGAAAACTAGCCATAAGCACTTTACGTAGCATACTCCCCAAAGAGAAATGTATGGACCGAACAAACACAAACTTGAAGAGTTTACTCTACAGACGTGGTATTCACTTTTAACGTGGGCCTCCTCCTGTCAAGAATCAAGTTTGTTTGAAAACGTGCATTACGTGGCACCTTTAGTATCCTTACTTTAAAAGGTATATAGTTATTAACATGGTCTGTGTGCGTGTTTGTCAGCTAGAATGCAGTCAGCTAGAATGCAGTCTATGATTCTCCCTGGCTCAAAGAGATGAACCCACTGTGGAGGACGACCCACCCATATGTTAGATCCAGGTTGGTTGCCAAGTTTGGCTTCCTGAAACAAGCAAACAACCACTGCAAATTTGGTGCCCACTTGAAACATAAACAGAATGAGTCAATGTGTTTAAAATCTGTGTTCAGACCTGCAGCTGGGGCTATCAATGCATTTTTCAGTGCATCTAAGAAACACGCGTGATATTTGTTTCTCGGAGAGCTCACATGACGGTCCGTTTGCAGGTGCCACGGAGCGTTCCCAGAGCTCTGGAAGCGCTGGAAGTGCTTTGGGTGGTTTGAGGAGTTTTTTCTCTCTACGCAGCGCGGCGTCCACAACATCTACTATGGCCAGTGTTTCCGAAGCACCAGTGCCACCACGGAGTTGTTTGGCCAAGAAGAAGGTGGACAACTTTGATATGGCAACGGATGAGGAGAGTGTGGAGTCTGTGTGGGTTTGACCAGGCTTTGTTTAGCACAACTGAAGGAGCACATTCTCATGGGGGGGGATGTGTCCTCAATTGTATTCAATTGCTTTTTGGAGCAGATGAGCAGAACATGCTTTCACTGCTTGCCAGAATCTTGAGACATCCTGACATCCTGAGAGCAGAAAAAGGAGTGTATTCTCATGAGGAGAACGTCTCCCGAACTGCACATCAGGAAATGTCGAGAAGTAGACCATCTCGTGTAGGTGTGTCAAGTGCAGCAGGCTTCCTCGAGAGCCAACTCTTACGAGCAATCCGAAACGCTCACGAGCATTTCAAGTCTTGTGCAGCATGTGCCCAGCAACATGCCACTTTTGTGTCCAACGAGACACTTCATTGTGGCTGTGCTTTTAGCCCTTCCACTGCACTTGAGGAAAAAACTGCCGAGGTCATGCAATTTGTGCACATAGTTGTTGATTCCAATTTCAGTCGGTGTTTGCATCAGGTTGCTTATAAGCGGAGTGATGTGCTTACATGCAAATGCTTCATGACAATATAATACTTTTGATTGTGGTCATTGATTTGATGCAGAGGCATGATCCAAGACTATTAATTAGTGCTGAACATGGTGCTGAAAATTGTTGAACATATTTTGTGAATTTTTGTGATGTGCATACATGTGTGGTACCTACCCCCGTGATAGTTGTGCACATTACTTCCATGTCTTGCCAAAGTACTATATATATATATCTATATATATATATACCAGGTACCAGGGGAGCACATGTAAATGCATAAAGAAAATTAGTGACCATAGTTGGCAAGTAGGACCGGTTCCTGTTCGGTCCAGTATTCCCCGCATTTGGACGTCACCTTGAATGCATGCCGACTTAGTTAAGTTCGTACTGCAGATCTCCTGGGGCCCGAGCGGATGTGTATTGCACCCCACCAGCAAAAGACCTCATCCTCGTCATGCCAATGAGCTATTCGAACTTCGATGTGGAGACGCCCAAAGCAGTGGCGAAAAGGAAGGAGGAGGTGAATGCATTCCTGGAGCGGCACGCCTTTCCAGGGGTGAATAGCTTGCGCGATACCAGTGATGTCTTTCAGCATGTTCGTGTGAAGCAGCTATATCCTTTGGATGTTGCCGAAGAACTAGGTGATGAGAGGATGATGAGCTTGTTGAAAATGTCAGGCCAGCATCCGAACCCCATTTGAAAGACACACTACCTGGACCTGAAAACAGTCCGTTGAAAGTGTTTCTTTTACTGACATAGTTTTCCGCCTCCAATTAACTTAATTCTCCACCATGGATTTCCATGGTTTCTACTTGGCACCCGTCAAGATTCAAGCCAATGGAACAGGTGCATTGCATGGTGCCCATGTTGGTCGATATGATCCAATGACAACATAAGGCGTCGTGTCCAGAGCCTCTTGCGTATTTGGCTCTTTAGAAGATTTCAACATGTTCAACGACAACCCACTTGTTCCTGGGTGGTTGTCGGGGCGTGACTTCTCAATACCGGTGTCCAGTTGTTCGGAACTAGACGGGTTCCAATGGGTGGAATGCACAGAACATCGGTGCACATGTGGGTCCGAACTAATCATTATCACGGACAGATAATGCCGCTGTGCTCGGCGAAGCGGAGCAGCAGCGACACAGGCGGGCTGGTCAGGTCATCACACTGGTCGAGCGAGCTCCTGGCTCGACCGGAAAGGTCTTGCAGCAGCAGCCTTCAGGATCCGCGTCCGAGCTGTGTCACGGACGTCAAGAGGCATCCGAAGGACAAACGCAGTCCTTCCCATCAGGATTCTGAGCTCAGGTTTACGGATGCCCCGGCGACGGAAGGCACCCAAATCAAACAGAGAGACCAAACGACTCAAGCACTCATCAACAGGCCGAACAACCCGGTTGAGCGGGATCCTGAAGGGAAGGCTTTCAACGGACCTGGATTCGAATCTGTCCCCAATGGAAACCGGAAAACAAAACCCACTCAAACCCAACAAAGCAACAGCCAACTCAACATCAGTATACCAATCAAGGGGGGTGTTCTCCTCAAGGTCCCAAATCTGCAACTGCTCAATCATGCTACACTGGAAAAGCAGGTGGGCCTCTGACAACTTTGCGTCAAGAATCTGGGACTTCCAACCCAAAGGAAGAAACTCAGAAAAACCACAATCAACACCAACCGAAGGAACCACGACAGGCCTAAGCTGTGGGTCGGAAGTCCGGGGTGCCTGCTGCCTGCGGTCCGCTACTTTAAGGTAAAAATCCCTCAGTCGAACCGCGAGCTCACCTATCACTTGATGTTCAGCCACGAGCTGCTTTGCCAGTTTGCTGGCTAAATCACCTCTGTGTTGGTTCTGTGACACAGCAAGTTGGTCAGCAAGCGAGTTCCAACGACACACCCAGCTTTCAAATGGATCCTCCATCATTTGTTCTTGTAGATGGCTGGGAATCCAGCGCACAGTAGTTTCCAAGTGCACTCTTTCCCGCAGCAACGCCTCAACAGTACACCAGAGATCCGCGTTGGTCTCAAGTCTGGTGAAGTCAGTCTCCTGTGTCAGCTGTTGCAGGTACATTGCCACATGCAGGCAGTCCGACCAGACACAAATGCCACTGTTCGTGGCATTGCCCCATTCCAGTGCCGAGATGACTGAGGTGATTTCTGCTCTGTCTGCAGTCTGTCGCCACCCAGGGACCAACCCAGAGGAGACTATGTCCCCGGTTGTGGCATTTATCACACCCCATGCAGCAAGCGAGACGGAATCATCCAGAGCTTGACATGAACCATCTACAAAAATATGTTGGGTATCAGGAGTCGCACAACAGGATAAAAAGTCGCAAGTACTATCATGAATCACCGAAAGACTAACCCGAAAGCTTTTAGCAACAGTCAACTGAGGAAAAAGTAAATGGTTCACAGCACAATCCGGAAGGCTCAAAACAGAGGCAACATCCAAATGCAGCTCTTCCCTGATGTCCTGGTAGTGAGGACATTGGAGCCAGTGCTTGCGAGTATCCTGCTGTTGGCATACTTCACAGTGAAGTGACTTGGAACCGTCAAACTTGCTCTGCTGGGCAGCAGTCAGAAAGGAGCCACACTGAAGTGCAGAAAGGCGCAGTGTATCTTGCGTAGTCAGTTTCCGGTGCACCACGCTAGTGAGGTGCTGGTTCAAACCACACAATCCACCCATAGTTTTGTGTCGCACCTGCGTGCTAATGAACTGCAGCCAAGCATCTTGAAGCACGAGATCCAGTGTTCTCCTGTCTATGCAGCCAAGGTCATGTGGACAACCAAGATGATCAAAAAAGAATGGAGGCTCCAGCAGAGACCATCCAAGTTGGTTGAAGATCAAGTTCACCTTAGTGAATGGACCAGGTTGAACATGTCCCGTCGCCCTGTGCCAGCAAAGCTTCCATAGCTGGATGAGCTCCGAGCATTTGTGCAGCATTCGCCGCATAGTATGTAGGGTCAACCGGATGTGGTAATATCCAGGATCCTGGTCCATGTCATCCAACAAAGTGAGTCGAAGTATGGCATTGGCCCCAGCACAACGAAGTCCGAGCGACTGGATAGCCAAAACTCTCAGTTGTTGGATATAGCCATCAGCAATGACACATGCAGCTGAACCATGCAGGGCAGCAGTCCAAAAAACAATGGGGAGCGCCTTAAGCTTTTGAGTCAAGGGTGCACGGGACCTCGAGAGTCGTTGCCACTTGGGATGTAGATTGTCCCCTCTGTCTTTTAGCTGTTTGTTTCGAACTGCCCTGCAAAAGGCCATGCTTCCTCCCAGCTCGCGTGCGTCCAGGAGACAGCGGAAACCAGCCTGCTTGATCAGCTGCCTTGCGCCGGTATGTGTAGACCACCCGAAAGTCTTGTCATCATCCAACTCAAGGCCCCATAATGCCAGACATTCGTTGGTGTGAACAAAGGCACGATGGAGCTCGTGCCAGTCTGGCCCGTGCAGGTCTAGGTTGTCGACAAAGGATCTCAATTCAACCTTCGGAAAGTAACATCGAAGGAATTCATGATGCCCCCAATTTACCAAGATCATGGCAACAATTGACAATGGACACCCTTCCGGGTACCCCCGGTTTGAGGTCACAGGTTCAGAGACCCCGTGGTGAATCTGGAATCTGCGCTCGAAATGCACTAAAAACTGTGCCCAAGGGGAAAGAATTCGCTCAGGCAGTCCAACATGCATCCCGACAGCAAAGGTGGGTTCTCGCTCAATATTGTTGAAACATCGTCGGACATCAGCTGAAATGCCATGCCACGAAAAACCACAAGTGATACTTGCTTCAACCCAACCTTGTATTAACATCCAGATCTGAGAAGTCTCTTGGCCAGGAACGAAGCCGTGAATCTCTGGAGGCAAGAACTTGACCAATTGTGAAAGCAGCTGCTTGGTCCGCATGGATCCCCATAGGCGATATGCAACTGCAAACACATGTATGGGCCGAAAGTCTCCAGGCTGCGTTGGGCTACAAACCTTGGCCACACATGTGATCAGACCAGTCAAGAATTGATGTGGCCAGTTCATGGTCCCAAGTTCCAAGGAATTGAAGAGGTCAACGATCCACTGCAAGTAGACCTGAGGCATGTGTACAAAATCATGACGAGACACACCATCGGGCCCAGTGGCCGCTGTTTTCTTCATTTTCCGGATCGCCCGCTTCCAATCATGCAGAGTGAGCGGTTGAAGTTCAAATTGGAGCTTCGGCAAAAAGGCTAAACAAAAAGCAAACACCTGTTGCAGACGTTCCCTCGAAGTGTCCACAGTGGCTTGCCACCGACCTTTCCAATGCTGTACAAGTTTTTGGCAAACGTCCAGATGGTCGGTGCAGAAAATTCGCTGCGTCAACGTAGTGCCAACCGCAACTTGCGTGATAGGGACTTTGCATACCACGCCATCAAAATCAAAAGGGGTGATGGCCCGAGTGCCATCCTCATCATCTATCCACCAAAGTGAGTTTTCGGTTGTGTCGGCTGGTGCGTCAAGATGCACTTGCTGATCTTCGGAGTCCAGCACTTCATATTGCATCTCAGTGGTGAAGAAAGTCACCGTGTCAGTCTTTGCTGGTTTGAGGTCTTGAAAAAGGGCTCTCATAGTTCCCTGGTAGCGGAGTTCAAGTCGTTCAGATCTTTGATTCTGGTGCCACCGTTCAAAAGCACGGAAGTGAGAGACAAATTCCAAGTATATGAGCTCGGCTTGTTCCAGGTGTGGGACAGAAGCAGGGAGCTCAAAACAAGCATCTGGGTTGTGACTGGTTCTTGTACACCACCAAGTCCGGAAGTCCGGGTCAAATCCCTTTGCCCGAAGGATTGCGGTCCAAACCTCAATTCGATACAAGTGGCTGGTCACCAAGTCACGAGCAGCCCGAAGGTTGTGCAAAAGACTCTGGATACGCTTGGCTTGATCATACCACCTTTTAACGGCGTGCCCAAGAAGGTCAAACGAAAGTCCAAGTTCACCATCTCGTGGTTTCTTGCAAACCGGAGTGGCGATCTCTCTTGTCTCTGGAGCTAACCTTTGCACTCGTCCAAGGGCATTAGGGGGAATCAGGACGTTTGCAGCATTTGCCTGTACACTAAAGTGAGCTTCCAGATGCCTCCCCCATTGCGCCAGAGCTGCAGTAGAATCGTCTGCAGGCATAGTTGGTAGCGGAGCGTCTTCCGGCGGTTGCCAGTCCTCAAGATGCTGCCATGGAAGAGCGGAAGGAAGAGGCCAACATTGATAGCTCAATTTGGTGGTAGGCAGATGCAAGTATGCTGCAACAGTTTTATGCCCTGCGAACACCTGCGCGACCGACACATGCCGTAGAAGTTGTTGAGCTTCAGGTGACAGCCAGATCTGATCGATCTCCGAATACTGTCCATTCGTTGGTTGCCACTCATGTCCAAGATGTTGGATGGCGAAGCTCTGGGCAGATTGCCACCCGTAGGTGAGCCAAACCCTTTGTTGTGGTAGAAGCTGATCATAGGAGACGTTGAAGTCACCTGTGATGAGTCTCGGCCCTTGACAGCCGATCACATAGTCCTTTGTGAAAGGGATGAGCAAGTCGTTGGTCATGTCCGCTGCATTCGGCCAGGTTGGCCCTTTAGCGAACCCGTAGATCGTAGCAACCGACAAAGGCAAACCAGGTACCTGGTGACGTGCCAACATGATTCGACTGGACAACCACTGTTC